AGGGATAATTCCGTTTAGGTCATTTGTGTCCTGTCAAGAATGGTTATGAACCGCTAGTAGATGTTATGGCTCAGTAATTGATGAGCCATTTAGAACATTTCTCCAATTATGGGTTCTGTTCCTGGACATCCTGGATATGTTGATGGATTTCATGATTAGCATCAATCCATCTTCCCGATACCTTGTCCCAAACATTGCCCTCTGTTACAGTCAGTCTCCTGGTCCAAAGTGACAGGGTTAAACTTTAATCCAGTGCCCCTATCCATCTCTCACTCTCCCCATTCAACTGTGTGCTCTGAAACCTCCTGCAGAGATCAGGCTTAATGTTTAACCTGGGATCTCACTCCCCATCATTGTCCCAGCTCTATGATCTACCTGCACTCTGGATACAGGACATACAGTAACTACGAGAAATACTGTATAATCCAAATAATACAGGACTTATTTATACAATGCCTCCAGCCTGGACACTTCAGATATATTCAAATGAAAATAATATTCATACAGGATACCAACACGGCTAATGCCTGATACACAAAAAAACTTGTATTAAACTGGCACATTCTCAAAGCTTTACAATCCAATGTCTAATGGTGGAAAATATTAAACTGTGATAATTACATATTTGGTAATGCCAAATATGATCATACTGGTTACCAAAACGGCTAATGCCAAAAAGGATCATACCGGTTACCCACACCGCTAATGCCAAATATGTTCATACCTGTTACCTACATGGCTAATGCTAAATATGATCATACCGGTTACCCACACAGCTATTGCCAAATATGATCATAACGGTTACCTACACGGCTAATGCCAAATATGATCACACAGGTTACCCACACAGCTAATGCCGAATATGATCATACCGGTTACCCACATGGCTAATGCCAAATATGATCATACCGGTCACCCACACAGCTATTGCCAAATATGATCATACCGGTTACCCACACGACTAAAAACAAATATGATCATACCGGTTACCCACACGACTAATAACAAATATGATCATACCGGTTACCCACGACTAATAACAATATGATCATACCGGTTACCCACGACTAATAACAATATGATCATACCGGTTACCTACACGGCTAATGCCAAATATGATCATACGGGTTACCCACAAGGCTAATAACAAATATGATCATACCGGTTACCCACACGACTAATAACAAATATGATCATACCGGCTACCCACACCGCTAATGCCAAATATGATCATACCGGTTACCCACATGACTAAAAACAAATATGATCATACCGGTTACCCACACGACTAATAACAAATATGATCATACCGGCTACCCACACCGCTAATGCCAAATATGATCATACCGGTTACCCACATGACTAAAAACAAATATGATCATACCGGTTACCCACACGACTAATTACAAACACGACTAAAAACAAATATCATACCGTTTACCCACATGAGTAATAACAAATATGATCATACCGGTTACCCACATGACTAATAACAAATATGATCATACCGGTTACCCACACGGCTAATAACAAATATGATCATACCGGTTACTTACACGACTAATAACAAATATGATCATACCGTTTACCCACACGACTAATAACAAATATGATCATACCGGTTACCCACACAACTAATAACAAATATGATCATACCGGTTACCCACACGACTAATCACACATATGATCTTACCGGTTACGCACACGACTAATAACAAATATGATCATACCGGTTACCCACACAACTAATAACAAATATGATCTTACCGGTTACGCACACGACTAATAACAAATATGATCTTACCGGTTACCCACACGACTAATAACAAATATGATCTTACCGGTTACCCACACAACTAATAACAATATGATCATACCGGCTACCCACACGACTAATAACAAATATGATCATACCGGTTACCCACACAACTAATAACAAATATGATCTTACCGGTTACGCACACGACTAATAACAAATATGATCTTACCGGTTACCCACACGACTAATAACAAATATGATCTTACCGGTTACCCACACAACTAATAACAATATGATCATACCGGCTACCCACACGACTAATAACAAATATGATCATACCGGTTACCCACACAACTAATAACAAATATGATCTTACCGGTTACGCACACGACTAATAACAAATATGATCTTACCGGTTACCCACACGACTAATAACAAATATGATCTTACCGGTTACCCACACAACTAATAACAATATGATCATACCGGTTACCCACACGACTAATAACAATATGATCATACCGGTTACCCACACGACTAATAACAATATGATCTTACCGGTTACCCACACGACTAATAACAATATGATCATACCGGTTACCCACACGACTAATAACAATATGATCTTACCGGTTACCCACACGACTAATAACAAATATGATCATACCGGTTACCCACACGACTAATAACAAATATGATCTTACCGGTTACCCACACGACTAATAACAAATATGATCATACCGGTTACCCACACGACTAATAACAAATATGATCTTACTGGTTACCCACACAACTAATAACAAATATGATCTTACTGGTTACCCACACGGCTAATAACAAATATGATCATACCGGTTACCCACACAGCTAGTTACCCACCTGTACCTGACAGCAGAAATAAATCCATACGGTATAAAGCGGCTGCTTGGTGGGTAGATTGTGTTTGACATTGAATGCTGGGAGATGAGCTCTGTGCTTCCTGTGCACTTGGTCTCTGGTGTCCTCATATACAGCTCCGAGGCGATATTATTATTGTATTACAGTTATAACATGTTACAATATTCTTACAGTGGATTAGTATTACATCACTGCTGTTATACCTGTTAGTCATTGGTTAACTGACACAATATGGTATTTCAGAGCAATGGGGAGCCTGACACTAGTGTGAGTCTCATAAATGGTTTAATGTACTATTTACATATTATATGTTCAGAGCTAAATACTACACTGGGCTTCATTTACCAATGGAGAATGATCTACTAGTGCCATGTTCATTTAGGTCAATATATGTCGAAACGCACTAAGAACCATTGCACTTAAACAGTGATTTCATAAGCAAGAATTAGACTCATTCCAATTAAATGCAAGCACTCTTTTGTAAAACAACATATTTTTTTCAGAATGAATACTTAAAGTTTAGAGTTTGTTATAAATAATTCATCTATGTTGTTCAAACTAGTAAATATTGAAAATGACCCAACATTCCTCCTCGTTTATATCTGTCTATACACTAATTATGGGACATCCTGGATATGTTGATGGATTTCATGATTAGCATCAATCCATCTTCCCGATACCTTGTCCCAAACATTGCCCTCTGTTACAGTCAGTCTCCTGGTCCAAAGTGACAGGGTTAAACTTTAATCCAGTGCCCCTATCCATCTCTCACTCTCCCCATTCAACTGTGTGCTCTGAAACCTCCTGCAGAGATCAGGCTTAATGTTTAACCTGGGATCTCAGCTATGATCTGCCTGCTCTCTGAATACAGGACATACAGTAACTGTGGGAAACACTGTCTAATTGAAATAACGCAGGACTTACTAATATAGCCAGGACAGTTAAAGGCAGATACATTTATATTGAAATATAAAACGATACCTAAAGCTGACCTGTGACCTGACAGTATGTTGTGTAAGATTTTTAATGTGTGCAATAGCAGAGGTTGGGTTAATAAACATACAGCTACACCTGGTTACTTAACAGTCAGTCATGTACGTCCCAATGGTCCCTGACCCAACAGGTTAGTCCTGATTTGGGAAGTATACCCCAGAAAGAGAAAATCAGTATGATAATAAATATACGCTTTTGATTTGTCAATGCACCATGGCTGTGCATTAGTATAAATGAACGCTGGGCATCAATACATTCCGGCCATTACTGCATGGGCACACTGCGGAGAGCTTGCAGGCAAAATACTCGTTTCCCTGTTTTCGGCCATGTTTTTCCCACGGTTGTGAAAGCACCCAGACTGACACCGTTTGCAGGACTGCCCTTTACACAGCTGAGATGTCCACATGGTCAGTGCGTACAGTGTGAGAGAGGTGGCATGCCCTCCCAGCCTCTCTCTGACACGGTAAATGGTTAACTGGAGAAGCAGTTTATCACTCTCTCCGTTATGTCATTGGGAGCTTAGCAATAGGACTGTGACACATTCAGCCGGGTTATGTCAAGACACACTTTATTTTATCAATATTGAAAAATAACCCTCAACAATGCCTCCCAATATTTCAAATATACTAAGATATTTTCATTTCAGTGGTGTGACTGGGGATGTGGCCACGGGTGGGGCTGTTCTGAGAAATGTTGGGTAACATTCATAACAATGTAATTTAGAAGAACAATGTAGCTTATTTACACACAGACTGAACACATTTATTATAGTTTAAACATACATTACTGGGAGTATCATTGCTGTGGAGCTCTGTTATACACTCAGACACATTACTGGGAGTATTATTACTGTGGAGCTTTGTTATACACTCAGACACATTACTGGGAGTATTATTGCTGTGGAGCTCTGTTATACACTCAGACACATTACTGGGAGTATTATTGCTGTGGAGCTCTGTTATACACTCAGACACATTACTGGGAGTATTATTGCTGTGGAGCTTTGTTATACACTCAGACACATTACTGGGAGTATTATTGCTGTGGAGCTTTGTTATACACTCAGACACATTACTGGGAGTATTATTGCTGTGGAGCTCTGTTATACACTCAGACACATTACTGGGAGTAATATTGCTGTGGAGCTCTGTTATACACTCAGACACATTACTGGGAGTATTATTGCTGTGGAGCTCTGTTATACACTCAGACACATTACTGGGAGTATTATTGCTGTGGAGCTCTGTTATACACTCAGACACATTACTGGGAGTATTATTACTGTGGAGCTCTGTTATACACTCAGACACATTACTAGGAGTATTAGTGCTGTGGGGCTCAGTTATACACTCAGACACATTACTGGGAGTATTATTGCTGTGGAGCTCTGTTATACACTCAGACACATTACTGGGAGTATTATTGCTGTGGGGCTCTGTTATACACTCAGACACATTACTGGGAGTATTATTACTGTGGAGCTCTGTTATACACTCAGACACATTACTGGGAGTATTATTGCTGTGGAGCTCTGTTATACACTCAGACACATTACTGGGAGTATTATTGCTGTGGAGCTCTGTTATACACTCAGACACATTACTGGGAGTATTATTGCTGTGGAGCTCTGTTATACACTCAGACACATTACTGGGAGTATTATTGCTGTGGGGCTCTGTTATACACTCAGACACATTACTGGGAGTATTATTGCTGTGGAGCTCTGTTACACACTCAGACATTATTGCTGTGGGGCTCTGTTATACACTCAGACACATTACTGGGAGTATTATTGCTGTGGAGCTCTGTTATACACTCAGACACATTACTGGGAGTATTATTGCTGTGGAGCTCTGTTATACACTCAGACACATTACTGGGAGTATTATTGCTGTGGAGCTCTGTTATACACTCAGACACCTTACTGGGAGTAGCTCTGTTATACACTCAGACACATTACTGGGAGTATTATTGCTGTGGAGCTCTGTTATACACTCAGACACATTACTGGGAGTATTATTACTGTGGAGCTCTGTTATACACTCAGACACATTACTGGGAGTATTATTGCTGTGGAGCTCTGTTATACACTCAGACACATTACTGGGAGTATTATTGCTGTGGAGCTCTGTTATACACTCAGACACATTACTGGGAGTATTATTGCTGTGGAGCTCTGTTATACACTCAGACACATTACTGGGAGTATCATTGCTGTGGAGCTCTGTAATACACCCAGACACATTACTGGGAGTATCATTGCTGTTGAGCTCTGTTATACACTCAGACACATTACTGGGAGTATCATTGCTGTGGAGCTCTGTTATACACTCAGACACATTACTGGGAGTATCATTGCTGTGGAGCTCTGTTATACACTCAGACACATTACTGGGAGTATCATTGCTGTGGAGCTCTGTTATACACTCAGACACATTACTAGGAGTATCATTACTGTGGGGCTCTGTTATACACTCAGACACACCATCAATATGGAGCTCCAAGAACATTAGGAGTGAAAAGAGAATCAGAGGGGTTTGTGCTGAGAATAGGGACTGTCCATCCTAAACAGGGATACTTGGGAGGGATGTATTCCTTCACTTAAGTCAGCACCCCCAATCCATTCTGGCATTCCTCGTGGCTGCTCCGCACCCAGAGTCACTGCTGCACAGGGCCGGACTGGCCCACCGGGATACCGGGAAATTTCCCGTTGGGCCATCGGCACCTGGGGCCGGGCAGACACCTGGGTCTGCTGGCAGCCGCTGGGGGAGGTGGCTGTTCTGTCTCTGCTCCCCAGTGCGCAGCCTTATGAGACCGGGGACGGAATATGACATCATATTCTGGCCCCGGTCTCATTAAGCTGCGCGCGAGGGCGGGGGAACAAAGACAGAACAGCCACCTCCCCCAGTGGCCGCCAGCAGACCTCCCCCTGCGGCCACTGTCAGTGTGAGTGTATGTGTGTGTGTGTGTGTCTGTGTCATGGTGTGTGTCTGTGTCATTGTGTGTCTGTGTCATTGTGTGTCTGTGTGTGTGTATGTGTCATGGTGTGTGTGTCTGTGTCATTGTGTGTGTGTCATTGTGTGTGTGTCTGTGTCATTGTGTGTGTGTCTGTGTCATTGTGTGTGTGTCTGTGTCATGGTGTATCTGTGTGTCTGTGTGTATTTAAAAAGTGTTTTTACTCACCATTTTTTTTTCTCCCCACGACGTGCTGGTCTCCCCTCAACTGGCCCTGCCTCTATGGCTGATATCATCAAACTTGATGATCTGAGCCAATCCAATGCTCTGCCATAGGATTGGCTGCAAAGGCCCTGATAGTAGGTGCTGCACACTATGCAATCACACTGTGCAGCACTGACACAGGAAGCACCTCTAGTGACTGTCTGAGTGAGGAAGCACCTCTAGTGACTGTCAAAACGCAGTGTGGCAAACCGCCTGGCACCCCGCCGGGGTACCTTCGCCAATCGCGCTTCCTAGTTGTCGTTGAGTACCATAAGCACCGCACCATAGTCCCCTTAGCCGCCACAGCTTGGCTAGGGTCTTGCCATTCCTTCCCACCCTGGACCAACACCTGGATCCGGCTCCCAGTGGAAATACCTCTCCTCCAAGAGAGTAAAGCAAGTATAGCAAGTGATATAGCCAGTATAGTAGTACCCCTACACATGAGCCGAGGCTTAATGCTGGGAGTAGTTCTGTTTAATCCAGCCAATTGGCTCACTTATATACAAATTCTGACCACAGTGACATGCGGAAAAAAGAACCTATAAACACACCCACAAGAAATACAGAGTCACCATGACTCAGCAAAACAATACAAAATATGAAAACACATAAAAATACACATTTCCCACATAGGAACCCCCACAGTCTATACATCCCCAGATAGCCTGGATCTGAGCAGCCAAATTGTCCAAATAGCGCTCAGATCCATGCAGTGTAGGGGAAACACCACTGCGTGGAAGTTCTGACCGGTCGCACACATGTTCCTATGCATAAAACAGTTCCATGAATTCAGGGGTAGCGGTTGGTCCCTTCGGGAGTTCCATGCGAAAGAAATATTGAACGCACACTTTGACTTATAGGTAGCGTTTGTTTGTATGATTCATATGAACAAACCTACCGAATGGCGCTCTACTGACAAGGATGGGGAAGAAGCAGGCATCAAAGTTCAGCGGTGTTCGGGAGTAAATGTGTCCGATTTTAGTTCCATGCCATCAACGCCCAAACACTGCTACCTGCATTCTTGCGAACAAGGTGGCCGCCAATACAGTTCCCACGAGTTCGTACATACGAACAGCGGCCACCCAGCCACACAATTAGAAACCACAATGATTGAAGTTTCAGGGGAGGTTAACAAGGGTCAATAAGCTCAGAGGTGGTCTGCAGTTCGTGGGTTGGTTCGGTTCCAGAACAGTCCAAGCATGGACTTTCAGCATGGCCCATAGTCCTGAGGCACACCTAGTAGCTGCCATGTCACATGCGGGTTCATTGCATTTTGCATTCTACCCAAGAAGACATATTTGCTTGAAAGGAGGTGGCAGAGGGTTAAGCACTGCAATCTTCTTCCAATGCTTTTTTTGCACCTGCCAGGAGCCGTCATCAGAACTGTACTCTTGCGTATTCACAAGATTACAATATAGGGTCTATAGAAGGTCCCACAACACTGCAGGAGCTTCTCACACTTGGGCAATAAGATGTCATATACATCTACTGAGCATCCCGCCACGAGAAGGTGTCTGGTCCTGTTAGCATTTTATCTAATGGCTGATGGGTAACCTTGTCTAATGCCAGAGATTTTTTCTCTCTGTCCCATGTACATCTTTTGATTCCATGGACATTTTTTTCCAAGAGAGCCAAAAGATTTTACATTTTCAGTAAAGTCAGCAGTATATTTGTAAGTGTAATTAGATTGGAGCTGTAGTAGGGTATAGATAGAAACCTCAGTGGCCCTCTGCAGGAATATATTAAAACACCCCTCACCTCGCTATAGACACACACTGAGAGACACACACACTCATTCACAGACACACACTGACTGACAGACATGTACACACTCACTGACATACACACACACACACTGACAGACACCCCTCCACATTCACTGACAGACACATACACACTCACAGGTACACACTGACAGATACACCCACATTCACTGACAGACACACATGCTCACTCACAGACACACACGCACATTCACATACACATACTGACAGACATACACACATTCACTGACAGACTCACTCATTCACAAACACATGCTCACTTACAGACACACTCACTCACACACTCACAGACACATTGACAGACACACACACACACACACAATGACAGACAGAAACAGACACACACACAATATTTGGTCACTACCAAATAC